AGTCCTAACAATGTATTTTCTCTTTGTAGACCTTTTTATCCAGACAGCACAAGTCAATCCATTGGATGTCCATCGGAAGTCCATTCATGGACATATCGGCTGTCCAAAGAACGTCCAGCATTTTACCGAAGGACATCCAATGGACATCCACTGGACTATACAAATGTCCCACTCCTGGACGTCCATTTGGACTCCATGAAAGGTCCATAGATGGACTCTTTTTGTATTGCTTTTGGACAATTTATGGACATCTATATTAATATGAAATAAAATAATTGCAACTATGGACTTTTATTATCAAAAATAATATCAAGAATGTATTAGTTTTATACGCACTCCTCTCTGTTGATTTTCTCAGCCATTTTTTTAAGGCTATTTCGCTTATTTTTTAAGCAGCACCATTGTCTCTCTCAGCAGCAGCTAAAAAAAGACTACATTTTATACGAATATTGAGTCTTAAATCAATCGTTTAATACACGCCTGATCAGGCAAAACTGATAGTTAAAAATGTAAAACTTTTAGATAAAATGTTATTAACTAATATTAAAATATGCATTGACTAATGTACTTTACCTCTATACTTACACATAAACAAAAAACTGCTCATTATTTCTTTAAATTACCATCATACCATCATATTATGCGAATTGTTTTGAGAGGATATTAGAAATTATGGAAATAAAACATCTTTTCATAAGTTCGTCATATCCTTGGCCCTGGTTTAGGTAACTGCTGAATCTAAAATTGCAATGTATTTCTGAACATTAAAGAGAAATAACTTATGAAACCACTTTCAATGCATTATTTTTTAAACTTTACAAAACGATTCTATTTTATTTAATAAAAGTAAAACTTACAGCTTCTTTAAAAATATTTGTATCTTCTAAATAGCCTCTTCTGCTAACGTCTCATGCCATACAAATAGAAACTTGAATTTTTTCTTCTCCTTTGAAAGTTTTCTCACCTCTTAGTTACAATAATAATTGTGTTGACATCATCTCGAATTTGCAGCATATTAGTTAGCTTTTAGTAAAGCCATTTTCTTAAATAGGTAGGTAAATCGTTTGACAAAAGGTCTAAAAGAAAGGGATTCTTTGAATGTAAATCGAAAATCTAAAGTTTAAAACATAATTGATAGGTTATATTAGTTTAAAACAAACGATTTGCTTCTTAATTTTTGGATTTTTAAATAATTTAATGTTAATTATACTTATTTTCTTACCAGATAAACATTATCTATCGGCTACATGTGGGATGTTTTCTTCTTAACCTCTTTCTTCTTTTCTTCTTCGAGTCTGGTATGAATGGCCTTTTACTTTTTTATCTTGTCAACAGATGCGTTAGGAGAGGAAAATTAATTGATTTAATTAAATTAAAACGTTGTAAATAATTAAATTATACAAGCAGAATTATAATAATTTATTATAAGTTAGTCATTTTTATAGTGTCCATCATGGACATTTATTGGACATCCATTGGACGTCTCAAAGGGTATATGGTTAACAGAAAACAGATGTCCAATGGACATCCATATAAAGTTCATGGGCATCCAGGACATTATTTGGACAAAATATGGACGTCCAATGGACGTCGTGTGCTGTCTGGGTAGTTACAATTTGTACCTTTACTTGCTTGCTAAAAATATCTACTCGGCTTTAAGCCTATGGTGAAAGGTATTTTGGGCTCCTGCATGTACACCTGCTTCCATATACCCATCCCCCAGTATGCACCGCTTTAAGATCCTGTAGGATGAATACGAAGCTACTACCTACCTGCTTCGACCTTAGACCTACTCTGGCCAAGTGAATGAAGAACTTCTAGGACCGATTTGTGTCTATTTTTAATGATAAACTTAGGGATAATAGGTTATATCTTTCTGTAGTCATATTCAGGGGTTTTGAACAACTTTTTCAACCACGACTTTGTTCCCTGGAGTTGGATCAAACAGCTAAAGGGACAACACAAGTAAATTAACTCCTTTTCATGTATTAATTTGGTTGATTCCCTCTGCTTTAAGCAATAATTTCCTTTGGGTAACAGGTCCGAGATAACTGTAAAAAGTTGCATTGTAAATATTTAGATAATTTAATCGCTTGACTTACTATATAATGTAAACCATACAGTATATACAGGGTGGGCCACTTAAAAGTTCCACCCCCCCCTTATTTTCGTTATTCATTGAGATATCGGAATAATTTTTCTTTTGTTTGAAAGACTGGAACAAATACTTTCTTATGACGGATACAATTATTCTGTGACGTCATGGCTTACTTTCGGTTTTTTTTTGAAAATAACAGAAAGTCGCAATTTATTTTCTATTTTTAAATCGAAACCCACTTTTTTTATTGTAAATTTGAATTTCTGGGACATTTTTGTATAATAATCGTGTATTTAAAATTTTCTGGTAGCTGTCAAAACGGCTGCCATATTGGATAATATTTCTTCTAAACAAGTAACTATTAATTCGTTTTTGGGAAAAAATAAAGGGATGTATGTTAAATTTTTAAAACTTTAAATTCCCTTTGAGACCCATTTACAGTATACCAGTGGCGTATCTAAGCATTTTCATTAATAGCAAACCGTTTAATAATTCCATCCGCTGTTATCTTCGTTGTTAATTAAGATATCGAAATGAAAACTTTTTTGTTTAAAAGCTTATAACAAATACTTTCATATACTGGATCCAATCGATCTGTGACGTCATGGCCTACTTCCGATTTTTCCGGATATAACTGAAAATTGCAATTTATTTTTTATTTTAAAATCGAAACCCGTTTTTTATTGAAAATTTAAATTTTTGGGACATTTTTGGATAAGAAGCGTGTATTGAAATATTTCTGTAAGCTGTCAAAATGACCGCCATATTGAATAATATTTTTTCAAAACATGTTACTATTAATTCGTTTATGGAAAAAAATATGGGATTGTATGATCTTTATAAAATCATTGTAAGCTTCAAAATTCCTATTGAGACCCACTTGCAGTACACCAGTGGCGTATCTAAGCATTTTCATTATTAGCAAACAGTTTTAATAATTCCATCCGCTTTTATCTTCGTTGTTAATTGAGATATTGGAACGAAAACTTTTTTTGTTTAAAATCCTAAAACAATTACTATCATTTACTGGATTTAATTGGTCGGTTAGATCATGGTTTACTTCCAGTTTTTTTTTAATAACAGAAAATCGCATTTTTTTTTAATTTTTAAATAGAAACCCCCTTTTTTATTGAAAATTTTAGTTTCAGGGACATTTATAGATAAGAACCGTGTATTAAAAATTTTCTGTCAGCTGTCAAAATGACCGTCATATTGGAAAATATTTTTTTTAATATGTTGCTGTTAGTTCGTTTATGGAAAATAATATGTGAACGTATAAAATCTTTGTAAGCTTCTTAGTTCCCATTGAGACCCATTTATAGTATACCGGTGGCGTATCTAAGATTTTTGTTATTTCTTAAGCATATCTGTCATCGAATTGAATTTATACGATTTCAGCGCTTGCAACCACTACATCAGTCAACTACTGATAATTCAAATAACAAAAAATAGTTATTTATACATATAATAATAAGTGGCCTTCAAAAAAGGCCTTTACATACGAATTGCATACAATATACTACCGTACTAAGATTAGAAATACAGAGGTTACTTTACTCATTAGTGCGTAAACTGTTTTACTTTAGGCACTAGCGCGTAAAGAAAATTTGAAATAAAATTTGTCATTTGTCATGTCTTGTTTACGCACTAGTGCGTAAAAATTTTTACTTTACGCACTAGTGAAAAAAGTAAAACTTTATGCACTCTTTAAATTTAAAAAATGTTTATTTTTATTTTAAATTTTAATTTTCAATAAAAATAAATTGCGATTTTCTGTTACTTCCGGAAAAACCGGAAGTAAGCCGTGACGTCACAGAATAATTGAATCCTTCATAAGAAAGAATTTGTTCCACTCTTTCAAACAAAAAAAAAATTATTCCGATATGTCAATGAATAACGAGAATAAGGGGGGGAGGTGGAACTTTTAGGTGGCCCACCCTGATACTTTATCGGTAAATAAAATTAACATTTTAAGTTCTTCCAAAAAGCACATTTTAATTTAATAATTAAACATAACCTATTAATTCTTCTAATCCCAATATGTTAAAAAGATAATAAATCATTGATGTAAAATACACTGGACTGAGAAAATTTCTACCCCTTATCAGCCACTTGCACCGGCCTTGTATATATAAAAGGATTTGGTATTTTATATCAATTTGTACTTTTTTTAATTTATTCTATCACCTCAGCAATAAAAATTCTTTACAGCTGTACAATCAGATAATTATTGTTTTAATAGAACCCCGTAACTTTCTCGTAATAGATTCCCACTGGAATCTATGTAACAACTTTTTGTATGAATTTTTGATAAATCGGATGAATAAATTATACAGTTTTTGATGCGTATCACCCCCTCATAAAAATCTTGTACCGCCATTGAGTTTCTGAGTTGCAATATAAATTTTTAGAAAATGACTAACATGTAGGTAAACAAATGAATTAATGTTTTTGTCATAAAATATATAGTTATAAAATTTTAGCAGGTGATAGCACGAATATTAGACTGGAAGAAATTGGTACAAACTTTAAAATACCATGCGTTTTTTTTTTTAATATTCTTTGGTAAGTTTGTACGAAAATATTTCGATATATTCATACAACACGAATTCATCGATAATTAACAATACGTGTAATGAACTGAACAAAACAAACAAACCGGTGTTTTCCCCACATTTCCAAATCAAAAAGTGCACACGTACCAAGAATGAACACAAGTGTTAATATTGCATATACACATTTTACCGGATCCGTCCGGAATATCACATCCTGGAGGCCAGCGGGCAAAATCTACCCCCACTCCTGCATATACGTGGAAACGGCGCGGCGCAACATCCCCTACCTCGCAGGGTGCTTTAGGACCGCTGGCTAGTGAGTAGCCACGACGGTGCCCGATTCGCACCGACAGGAACCGAGCAGGAGACGGACGACACTCGCCTGAATCGCGCTTGGCCGTGGAAGTCGTGGAACACACGCGCTTGGACCGGTGCGGTGACCACACAGCTTCACGGGTCCAGAGTAAACTTGATCCCTTTGGTCAATCGCACACGAGACCTTTTCGAAAATCGCGATATACATATTTCAATTATGACTAAATATAATTTTATGTTGGACTATTGTTGATTTTTTTATTATTAATTTGTGTTTTTATTTTAATTCACGTGGTTGTTGACACTTTGTGACTTATTGGTGATAATGATTTAGTGAAAGGATTTTTTTTTAATTTTCGAGAATGAAGGACAATTTTTAGTGCTAGCCGGACTCGAAGCCCAAACATTTTCAAAATGAGAATTAAAATGCCAGCGGTCAGAATCGCACAAGGTAAGTAATTTTTTGAATGTTTGCTCGTTTATTAATCTTCAAAAACATCTAAATACCTTTTGAAATATAAATTAATGCGTCAGTTATCTACCTCAATTTTTTATTATCACTTTATCATCCGTTACAAAGATGAACATAAAAATTAATTTAGTGAGTTTATCTACAAAATATTCCTGATAAAGTCAACGTCATACGCTAAAAATGCAGTGGATTATTTATTATCTACGGAATATTACAAGATTTTCTTAATTTTTAGTTAATATTTTTTAGGATAAACATCTTACAATAACCCTGGATATTTTAATGAAAAAACAAAAACAAACTTCTGGTATGCTTAAAATTGTTGTCATTGCATGAAAAATTTATATACTTATTAATACCGGACCACTTTTATTCGTCCTTTATAAGATCCATTCCTGCAATTTGCAGGATTCTTAAATCTAGTCATACTTTTATATGTACCTACGTTATTTCATTTCAATTTTGTTCCAGTGTTCCTATATTTTTCAAAAAACATGAATTTATATTTAATAGAATCCTTTTTGATTTTGCAGGAATTTATTGAAAAATTTGTTACCTACAATAATTGTTGAAGATTGGCATTTTTTGCAAGTACAAGTGTATTATGTTTTTGAAGAAGGCTAGAAGTTTATTGTTTTATTATTGTATTATGTGTTATTGTATGTTTCTTTAATATTTTGATTACATTATAAAGTAAAATTTGTGTAATTTCTATTTTGTTTTATCTCAAAATTAGATGAAAATTAAATTGTCAAGTATTTATAAATGAGGTCATTTTAAGTAGGTAATTTCATCTATGAAAACTCAATGTTTATTGTTTTCTACAAGCTAAGAAGAAAACTGAATGAATGAAACTATTTTTGATCAAAAAGCCGCATATTCTTAAGTCAAAATTATATTATATCTAATTTTCAGACAAATTTTTCATGTAAATATTTTTGTTAAATAAAAAATGTTTATGAAATATTCAAATTTGTTTTTGTAGCATTTTTGAAACTCTAAAAACAAGCATTTTTGGCAATATCGATAAAGAATTTTAACTAAATTTGAATGACATTTTTAATGTTTACATATTTGTATGATTAATTTGTTTTACATCTAGAATTGTTTAAAATACATATTTAATACCTGAATAATTAAAAAAATATATGAATAGGAAACGTTTAGGTACTACCAGGTAGTAACAGGTAGATATTTAGAACAATTACTTAAACATGATCATTGTGGCATTTTTTTAATTCTTTAAAAAGATCTGTAGAACACTTGTTGCGGTGTCATTTTAATTAATAATATACGGCAAAAGTTTTTATTTAAATACTAATTGGCAGTATAAAAAATAATTAGAACATAGAAATGTAATCTGTTTTTGTTATTACGCATACAATTACATTTTTGCGAGTACCTGCTATTAAAGATAAAGATATGGGTGGCAAAAATAGTATTAATAAATATACAGGGTATTTCATTAGCAAACGGCACAAATTTAAAGAGATATTCCTTGGGTTAAAATAATAAGTTTCTACGAAAGTTTTTTAAAAAATAGATTTTTAATTACTATCTAAAAAATGCTTAAACCGATTTCATTGAAATTTGTATTCCTTAATAATTATATGGGCTGTCGTTTAGACTAATTATTAGAGTTGATCCAGAAATTCCAGGGTCGTACCCACGGAACAGATCGTTCGGAATTGTGTGCAAAAATAATAAGACCCAATAGATTTTGCAATTTTCATAACTATAATGAGCAATGCAACTTAAAATATAACTTTTTTCTCCTATATTATTATGACGTGAGCTTATAGAAAACACTAATGAGAAAATCTTATATATTTTGACAATGAATTAATATAGCAATATCATTAATATCTAATATGAATCTACCTACCTTTTTAACATAATTATAAGTCAGGAAAGAAAATTTGTATTTTGTTAAAAATTTTCATTAAAATAGTAAAGCACCATCTTCAGCGCTTACTGTCAAGTAAAACACATCCACTAATATAGGTTGTCTTGATTTTTATGATGGTGGGTGGGGTTTTCCAGGTTTTCCTAACCTGTAAGTCAAATGACACCATCAGTCATCTTTGAGTCGCCCCGGAGCGACACGGCAAATAATAACTGACAAGCTTAGCTTTTGTTCAGTCGTATTTAATAAATTGTTAAACATTTTTGTTAATTTGTTTAAATTTTTAGTTTTAGACATTTTTATTTAACCATTTTCGTCAAGGCGAGGTGGCTCTTGCAAATGTCACCTGATGACAACGATATGACAAAGTGGAGATATTTTGCTTGACAGTAAGCATTGAAGAAGGCTTAATGCCGAAGGCGCTTGCTATTTTAATCAATGTTTGTACTATGAAGACTAAAGATAAGGAGACGAATCGGCATACTCAAAATACGGTCCCAAAAAACGCATGCTAATTGAGCTTCTAGAATTAACCGCATGGGCGCTGGTATTGCATACGTTGTTCAAAATACATGGCTTCTTATGGAAATTATACATAATTTTGTCAAAATAATAGAAATAAACTTGTTTACAGCTAAATAAAGCACAGAACGTACTGTTGTATTTATTTCTAAATAAGTCTTGCATGTTTTAATTGATAAATTATTTAATTTTATCTATATAAAATACAAATTAGGTATGTATGACCAAATTCGAAAAGGTTTCTTAATTGCTGAAATTTGATAAGTACAATTTTGTGGCAATTTTTTTTTTTTTTTTGAAAATACAGTTACCAAATTTTTTATTGTTGTAATACAAGTATAAAGGGAGATTTGGGAATGTACATGGTATTACCTCATCCTTTAAATTGAGCTTTTTCCTTTTTATTTTGCTAACAGTACCATCAGTAAAAATAGTCTCATAATATTTGGTAATATCTTCTAAGAAGTATAGAACAGCATCATCTCTAGAAAGTGCTGAGCTTGTGCGGGGAAAGGGACGGCTATTATTATTATTATTATTATTTGCTGTGTCGCTCCGGGGCGACTTAAAGATGATTGATGGTGCCATTTGACTTACAGGTGAGGAAAACCCGGAAAACCTCACCCACAATCATCGAGACGGTAAAGCATGGAGATTTTATAATCTGCATGTCATATCAACAGAAATTGAATTTCTATTAATACGGCACACATCAAATCCTATACCGAACCATGCAATTTAATTAAAAATCCAGATGGTCTAGCCTGTGATTCGAAGCTCGACAGTCTCCGACCATAAACCATGAATATAAGCGCGTTAGACTGCTACACCACCGACCCGACGATTGTGACTAGTTTACAATAAATATTATATTTAGACATGAATACATTATTTTACTTACATTAAAAGCTTTAAAAATACATTGAATTGATTTCTTCTTGTGTTTTCTTTAGTTTTCTTTAGTTTTACATTTGATTTTTATACTGTTTTACAATCTGAAACGACGTAAATCTTGCTTTGATGTTACTTGTACTCAGGTACTGTTTTTCACATTATTTTGATTCTTTTCGTCAATCTTTTAAAAAATAACTTTATTTTACATTGACTTAGATAGAAAATTGACTGCGCTGTCATTAGACATGCCAACTACAGTCAATTTCGCGAACTTTATAAAAAGAAGGACGGACATTTGAAATTTTACCATTGCCGATTCACCTCCTTCTCTCTAGTCTTCATAGGTGCGTGCACACAGCCGTTAACTTCTTTTGGTTCCTTTTAATATTTATAAGATCCATAAGAGCAAAGAAGAAAAATAAATGACAAATAACTAAAATAATTCAGATTGCAATGTTGATATGGTAGCCAACCGAAGATTAAAAATTAAACTGCGTATCTTACATTTTGTATATCAAAAATATCAAAGAAATAACTTTGGATAAGAGGTGGTGAAGAAATATTTAAAAAACTGTACCCAAGCATTTTTGTTCAAAGCATTCATTTGCGAGCCAATTTTGTGGTAAAAGAGACACCGGCACCGGCTTCGAAGACTATGTGAATTTATTTGAATTTGATAGATGCCGTATTAGCAGATATTAAATTTCTATTGACATGATATCCAGATTATAAAAATAGCCTTGCGGTATTGTTTTCGATGATAGTGGGTGAAGTTTTCCGGGTTCCTCACCTGTAAGAAAAATGGCGCCATCAATCATATTTAATAATAACAGTTGTCTTTTCTCCTACACAAGTCGCTCAGTTCGCTTCAGGGGTTCAAATTCACTCGTAAGGGGGTGAATTAGGAAGAGTATTATAATTATTAGTATTATCAAAAAAAAAATCGCACTTCAAAATAAATATATTCATGAATACCTGTTTATATTCATAACGAACTGGCGTCAATACATATCCAAATTTTGAGTACTTATGCTTACCTCCAATGAGTTTTCAGTTTTATAGTCTATAGATATAAAGTTCTATACAACGAAGTAAAATTAATAGTATATTACATTACGAGTGTGGAAAGTGACATTTTTCACACGAGTGGGAAATATTGTCGCACGAGGCGTAAGCCGAGTGCGACTATCACACGAGTGTGGAAAATCACTTTTCACACAAGTGATGTACAATATTTTTCCTACGACCACAAAATAATTTCATCAAAAAATGTAAAACCAGATTATTATAATAATTAAAATGTATTTAAAAAAATAATTAACAATAATCGTATTTATTAAATTTTCATAATTTCTAAACAAATAAAAAAATAAAAAAAAATAAAAAAAAAATAAAAAAAAAATTCTGGCACAGCCAGGATTCGATCGCGGTCGTTGGGCGGTCTCAAATTGCAAAGTTGATGCTCTAACCAACTGAGCTAACAGGCCTTACGGTAATTGATTGATCTAATCGCTTATGTGTTTAACCAGAATAAAAATCAAATATATCTTAGTTATTTTAAAATTATTTTAAAAATAATTGTTAAAGATAAATATCTAGGATCTAATTTACAATAATTTAACAATCATATCGATTTTAGCATTAATATGGACATTAC